TTCTGAACTTAAAAGTTAACACTTGACATGAATCTACATGTGCTTATTTGTCAATATTTTTTTGTGTTTCAATCAGTAGTTAACGAAATACCCCAAACTGAGGTTTGACTAGTAGATACAAGATTTTCGTGTTTCTTTTTCCGTAAAATGGTTCCTCAGTTGCATTTTGGGTATGTGTGTTTGTGTGTAAGAGTTTGCAAATTACAGTGGGAATTGTTAGCACTCTCGCTGACGTTCCTTAACCCAGAATTCAATGATCGCTCCACCCTTACGACCACAATGAAAAAAAAAAAGATTAATCAGAACTGCAACAACCAGCTTTGTATCTGGTTGACCTTATTAAGGAACTGATACTGTGTGCATGAGATGCTGTAAAAAAAAATTAACTCAGCGTGAGAACACCTACTTAAGTTATGGAAATTGTCTCAAAAATAATTATTGCTCGGGCGAATTTTTACATTACGAAAATACTTTCGAAACGTTGATTACATTTTGCTAACAAATACTAATCTGTTAATCTTTGGATCATACATAAAGATTCAGACTGAGGGCCAAATTTATGGACGAATTATAATATTATTCTATCTAAAGCTATATTTACTTTTCTATCGCAGATTGGATAAGGCATTAAACTTATTAGACTGTATAGTGTAGTTAAATTACAGTGTTTAAGACACAAGTGGACCTTCAAGATATTAATCACGTTGTATTTGTCTACATTTTAACGTTTTACATAGGTTTGTGTAAAATAAACAACGATTACTATTCTTAACACGGTTTATTTATTCGTGAATGTGTTTTATATAAAACAACCATGTGATAAGAGACTCACCTGTGTAGATTAAAAACAACGTAAGGCTCAAACCAGCCATCACATAATACGCTCGCTAAATGTTTTCCTTGAAGAAATTTCTTCCGGGAAGTCGTCGTTGCTGGTTTACTCTCTTCAGATGTGAAGTTCTTTCACAACTAAACTGCAGTTAAAATATTCTTTTAACTTAAGTAAGACTTTGTTTTCAAACTCCGAAAAAGTCAGATAACACTAGTCACTTTCTGGAGCAAATGGATCACACATCCGGCTGTTGCTCAGCCAGGAGTTAAAATGATATGGGTGGCTCGTGTTTGTCGCTTCCCCCATGCTCACCTGCTCCCCTTTACAGGTTCAAGTAGTAGTAGGTAGCCCGGCAACAAATCCCCCACGTGCTCGTCGTGCAATAAAAATAAAAGATTAGCTTAAGGTACAGATGGAGTTAGAACATTTAGTAAGATATGATGAAAAATACAAGCAGCTGTTTTGCACATTTTTTTGGCGAATATATCTAAGATGTCTTATTTTGTAATTTTACTATTGCCGTTAGCTTACACAAATAGTTCTATACAATAATTTCAATACGTCTTTACTAAATTATTACTATAGACATAGTATAGTATGGGAATTTGTACAATAACAATGACGTCATACTTTATACATAAAGTACCTACGAAGTAACCGCTTGTGAACAATTAGGCAGTAAACATGATATCCATTATATATCTGTTACATTAACAACTATCCTGCTTCTGCGTATTTATTAAATTATTTTTAATTACGAACAAAATCGCTCATCATAATAAATGAAATAAGTTATGTAATTCAAGTATAATTATGATATTTACAGAAACGTCGTTTTTGATCATTTAATTGAAGTATATTAATTTGTATATTTTCACTTTATGTTGTTACATTTGAACGACTAACCATACAGCCTGAAATGATGTTAACACTTAAAATAAGTCCGTTCTTATTTCTTCTTATACGGGTGGATCCTCAGAAGAATGTTTTTTAAGGCAACTCTAATTTCTATTCTGATTAACAAACCATTTCTGTTTGCTTGCTTCGTAATTTTGCACAAAACTACACAAGTGCTATCTGCGCACAGTCGTTTCTAATTATGAAATTAGATACTGGAGAGAAGGCAATTAAGCAGTATCGTCCATAACTAACTCTTGGACTATCGTTATCTGATCGAATAGTGGGACTTGATCATCACTGTTATATCCCCAAAGCGTGGAGGATATTTTGGCTTAACGGGTTGCAAAACGTGAATCCTCGGATTACCAGTAAGTGCACACTAATTATTAAGCCACGCGAGGACCCCCATACCAATAAATATTGATTTTGTTTTTTTCAAAATAAAGTTATACATTTAAATACGAACAGTATCTTAAAAATTACATAAGATGTTATAATATCTATCCGCATTTGCGTTAAATAAAAATGATAGTGCTGTTTTACAGAAAAATTATATTGCCGTGACAAAATAATTTAATAGCAGTATTTTGTGCATAGTTTATATCTTTCGGTATGATTCGAATTCATTAGTGATTGATATAGAAGTACTGAAATTAAACTTAGTTATAACTTTCGGAATGAGTTTAGAAATTATATAGTATGATTTTCCAAAGATGTTAACACACTGCTTATCTAACTTGTTTATCTCCCCTAGTGGACAAAGAACGGAACGGATAAAAATCTTTGAATTGAGCACTCTGAAGGAGTGTGTGGCAAGTGTGCCGTCAAGATGTTAATACCATTCTGTCATACCTAGCTACCGGTTAGGAGTCACATAAAGACTTATAATGAAAAGATGAAAACTGGTATTTTTAAACGGTATGATGCCCAAACTGTAGATCGGGGGGGGGGGGTAGGTAAACCATTTATGGTAACAACCCTACTGGGCAGACGTATCTTGTAGCAACATCAGTTTATATTGATGATAGTTGTTTCAAAAGCAGACCTCCACGTCATTCGTAGCAGTTGAAAATCTTCTATATCTCCGGAACGAAATTATATGCCAAAATATAATCAAGTCTTAATAGGTTTTGAAAGTTAAGATTATGATGATGAAATGGGGAATTGCAATCCAGTAGGTGCTCTGTATAGTAACTTAATTCTTTTAATTTCTTGTTATAAAATTTATACACGTAACCTAAAATTAAGATTTGATGCGATATGTTTTAATATCGCTGATCAGCATACGCTATAACAAATTTTCAAGAATTAATCTGTGCCAGTAGTAGTGCTTATGTTCGTTCACTCACGTTCTAAAAAAACAAAATATGAACAATGACATGTTGACTTCTTGTTGTGGAAATTCCCGATAAACATAACTGTTAAGTAAGTTAATAAAGATTTATTTAATTTCATTTACTTGTAAAACTTGTTGAGCAGCTTTAAGTATGAACTGCTTTACAAAACTACTATTTCGGGAAGTACTACGGTTTTATTTTTTATTGGTTAGCCTATTCTTCGATAATTTGTACGTAGCTAAATACTTTTAATAGGAACCTAAAAATAGGAGGGATATTTAATTAGGTCGTCTATAAGTTATCAAACGAGATTTTCAAATATATTTTCACTGGTTTTACAAGACTTTTGTTATTGACGTATGAGTTTTTTGAAAGAAACTGTTATAAAGTTATTATAACACTGTACGTTAATAGTTCAAAGTGACCCTATTTACAACAATACCAACTGATTTTGAGCATTTGTTTGACTCATCATTATTAGTCATGGACGCTCAAAGATTGAACTCTCGAGTAAAAGCAATTACTAAAAAAAATCATAATTAGTAATTAAAATAATTAAATCAAAATTTATGAACAGAATTTTCTGAAACATTGACGTCCATTTTAACATTTATAAAATAAACAGCTCGATCATATCAAAAATTTACAAAGAGGCTTAATATTAAGTAAATTCAAAAGTATGTTTGTGTGTGTGTATATACACATACAACGTATATTTGTAGGAACGAAACATAAGAAGAAATGCATGATATGCACGTACTTAATGGCAACGACCACTATTAAATTTAAAATATAATATTTAAGCAATAGCGCTGTAAAAACGGAGACATGTTTTTACAGTATCTGTTTATAGAATCATGTTTATAGTTACAAATTATATATATAAATAGTTATAACGTCTTTGTGTGAGTGTTAGGAGTGGAATAACAATAAACCAAACATGATATTGTTACGCCTCTGGTCGTTTGTTAATTTAACGTATAATTTCTTTCGGATGAAGTTTAGCGAAACAAGTTCTTTCTTAAATAAAACTAGCTTATTCTTTCTCAGTTCAACTTTATAATACACTTAATTTCCACAGTCACTTTAAGCACACGCTATAATTCAAACGAACGATTCACACGCTTGACTCAATTGTCCGTCCCTATCTCTGTCTGCAATTCAATTCCGATTAATTAGTCTCACGTTAACCGGCGCACTTATATAAAAGAATAGATGGCGCCTAGCACATACTGGATTATTCGTGATGTTCCCTAATCCTTCGAAAGTATCATGACGTGTTACCAGAGTCACGTGACTTCCGCTATCGTAACACTTCCCCTTCCTTACTTTAAACCAATAGAAAATTAGCAATAACTTAATTAAATGTACAGAATTTACAAACAAAAAATTAAAATTCAACAAATTTTACGGGACATATCTTCTTCTGTACTGGTCTCCATCTCATTGGCTTCTGCTTCACGTGAGGTTCATCGGCTCCATCGGGAATTGTCCTAACATCGGTAACAGTCATATCAGTGGTAGTAACTTCATCAAGGGCTTCACTGTTTCCCTTCTCAAAACCGAGTAGTGGCTTTTCCAGGTGGCGTCTTTTGTTCCGTTGTTCACTTCGTCCCAACTGAAATGTCCAGGACCGTGATAACACCAAAGCCTTTTAGCATGCACCACCTTTGGCTTACCTCGCTGACCACATTTTATCCGGAACGTCACGTCTGAGAGACGATCCACTATGTCATATGGGCCTTCCCATGGAGAAGACAACTTAGGAGACGTCCCGTTGGTCTTCCTGGGATTATACAATCACACCTTCTCTCCTGGTACAAAGCTCTCTTCAGTAGATCTCTTATCATAACATAGCTTCATCGAATCATCAGACGCTTTCAAGTTTGAAAGCACTTGATGGTGACTATCATCCATCCTTTCCGATAACACTTTCGCAAACTCTG